ATCGAGCGCGTCTCGGCCGACTACTCGTTCGACCTGCTGGCCCAGGGCACCGACATGATCTCGCTGGTGGCCCGGCTGCTGGACGAGGCCCTCTACGCGTTCTCCACCGAGCCGTTCTTCATCGGGTGCGTGGCCAAGGTGCTGCAGCTGGACCGCGAACGCTTCGAGGCGCGCGTGCGCTGCTGGGGCGAGTCGTTCGACCTGGCCAAGCATCCGCAGGGCACCGAAATCAAAGCGATCACCTACTCGAACATGCAGGTGCACGAGACACCGCTGCGCAGCGATATCTTCGTGATCGTCGATATCTAAGGGCTACCGTTGCAGCACCTCGATGATTTACCGCACAGAGTGTTTACTGAATGTTCTTCCTCCTGCTTCGCTTGTGAAGCGAATTGAGGTCACGAAAGAGGGGAGCGGGCCTTCCATTCCATTTCCAGCTTATCAACACACTTCAGACCTTTCAAATTCGGCACCGTGGTGAGATGTCAATATGAAATTGTATCAAAAAAAAGTATATGAGTAGGGATGTTTCGGCTGCCATCAGTAGTTCTCGTACACATTCCTGTTCAGCACCACAACTGCCATCATCTTTTATACGGGTACACATTGTGCGGCTGCTCGAAGTCCGTGCGCTCACGCTGTTCTCTGTTCCACTATGCGTCATCAGCAGCTTGAGGGGGGCATTCTCGGAAAGCTAACATGTTGCTGTAGGAATATTCAATTCCGCCAATGCTGAGCTTGTATTTGTAGCAGTTGGACTTTCCTTGTTACCTTGAACAGCGGGGCAGCAGAGATCGATCGGGTGGGCTTGCGTTCCTGAACAGCCTTAACTCGCCGCTCTGCCCTTCTTCAATGATTTCGTTGCCGGTGCACTGCTCTGCAAAGACGGGGGTCCTCATTACCGTGCGGAATCTGAGCGCAAGTTCCTTGGTTTGTGCTTTGGCTTCAAGTTCTACGGCATTCCTTTGATTACACGTATTACATGCGCTCATTTGAGATGGACTATATCATCCAGTTATCGTTATCTTTTTAATTATTCTATGTTTGTTTTTTTTCTGGCGCCTTCGTATTTTACTGGTAATATTTTTGTGATGTAAGTTGTATTATCATTGAGGATGGTTTTGATGGGGGTTTTTTTTGGTGTACTCGGACATTCGGCTACAAGCAAAGCCAGTACTGCTCCAGAAAACACCCGACATCCAGCCACATTTTCTTACCTCCTTTTGACCTGACAAAACCACATATTATTCCACCTCCATTACACGTTTGCTTTCACGCAATATTATGTTTTCGAAGCTTGTATATTGCTAAATTGAAATGTGAATAAAATTTTAGCACAAATCATGGGGAGCGTCGAAAAGCGCGTTTTCAAACGTAAACTCAAAAAACTGAAAGATGCAACGAAGCTAAAGAAAACGCGCGCCAATGACGACGAGGACGACGACCAGACGCACAACGCTAGGAGCGGAGATTCGGTTTGTAATTTATCACCAACGATTTTTTTGATTTTTATCACTTCTGCTGTTTGACACATGTCACTTTTTATGCATTTTTTTTCAGCTATGCAATGCAGAAAACGCATATTGACAAGGGATTGTCTGTGTGTGTGCGTGTCTGTGTGTTCGTCTATACCGATTTTTCATCTTGACCGGCAGAAACTGCAGGGCTGAAACTTTAGGGACATGATCTACATGAACGTACGGATCCCCATCTCCGAAATGGGCGGTCTTACCCGCGTGGTACCCACGTAAGAGCTCGCCAAGATTTTCCTCAGATAAGTTGATAACTCGCGAACCAGAAAAGCTAGAAAGTTGAAATTTTGAGGGATGTTCCCCGTCAAAATGGGTATTAGTGAGCTCAAACCCAGCCCCCAGGTAAGCGCGGCACCCGCGTACGGGCCCGCCAAATTTCTTCCCGGATAAGTCCATAACTCGGGGATCTGAGAAGCTAGAAAGCTGAAATTTTAAGAGGATGTTCCTCTCCCGCATTAGTTCCTCTCCCGCATTAGAGGATGTTCCTCTCCCGC